TTCGTGAACTACGTGGCTCGCTATCATCGGTCTCTTTGTTCGACGATACGGAATTGGACTTCTTCCAAGGGAGACGAGCAAGATGTCCTCCCGACAGGATAATTCGTTTCAGGAAGATCACGAATCGGTTAACCGTATTGAATCGATTATTAGGCGATTTCACGATGTTCGTTCAGGCCGACGTTTTGAGAAAGCTTCGGAGGAGTGGCAATTAATCGCGAAGAAAATCGAAAAGATAGTACTTGAGAACCACTGGGGCCCCCGTGGTCTGCGCCACTGTCCTCCGGTGGGCCCCTTCTAGGGTAACACGAAGGGGGGCACTGACAGCGACAGCTGCCGCTGCTGCTGCTATGTTCCCTTCTTTCTCTCTCCCTCCCTCTCTGTTTCTCCTCTTTGCTGTCCACATCTCACCGCTTCGACTCGGTCCCTTTTGCCGGAGCCGTAGCCCTCTTGGTCCCGCGGGGCCCGTTGGCACCACGGCATCCCCACCATGGGACCCATGGTCGCGTGGCAGACAGCCTGCACCTCTACAAAATACACCTTCTCCGTTCCGTTTAGTTCCAAACGCCGCAACGGACGATCTCCTCTTTTTTCCTCTTTTCCCCCTTTCGTTTCGTTCTTCCCTCTGTGGCCCGTCTCTTCTTTTCCTCGGGCTGCGAACTTCTTCGCCAATTGTCCACTCGCCGTCGTCAATTCGACTTTTCACGTTCATGTACACTGGGGTCCTGTCTGGCCTGCTGTTCTTTCTACCGACGAATTTTTTTCCGATCCGGAAAGTAACGGTGTTCGAGACATTTGCTCCGCTCTTTTACACTCACGCTCACTGGTCAGGCTTTCAGCGAGCCCAAATTGATATATCTAAGGGTAAACGCGGTTAATTTCGCTACGATTCACGTTGGGGACAAACGGGGTACTTTTGTCAATTTCGTAGCTATTTCGAGATAAATCAAGTACCGTGTTTTACGATTTCCATTTCAATTTCAATTTTTCGCGTCGAAATCCGTCGGAGCCATTGATTCCGTATACGTATATAATGCTCTGCGGTTTTTAGGGCTGACAAA